CAAACATAATAAAAAAAAATTTAAAAATCCCAAACACACTCAAAAAAAAAAAAAAAAATCAAACTAAAGGTGTTTCTCAGGATTATAATTAATGAGATTAAGTTTATTGAGAAATACTGAAGAGAAATCAAAATTGATTTTTTACATCAAAAGTCAAGTTACTTCTTGGAATAATGATGAAAAGATAAACATAAGGCTGATTGATGTTAATAGATGAGGTCATTATTAAATTAATGTGTACATATGAAAAACAATAACCATTATGTTAGTGGGATACAAAATTAATTATTGTCCATAATCCATTTGTGTTATCATGAAACATAAAGAATGCTTAATAGTAGARTCAAGTTTACTCAATAAGAAAATAAACACAGGAAGACATGGCCAAAATCTAAGTAATAACTGACTTCACCCCTGCACCAGTTATTAATTTAGTTGTTAAGATCTTTGCATTTGCTTTGATGAAGCCTGCCTAGTAGAATATTAGGCTAAGYTTATCTTTGTGACAGAAAACAAATGAAGTCATAAATCACTGAAATCATCTCCAGTGACTTGTGAGGGTTTTTCTCACTTTTTAACATAAACTATTCATGGACAGTTTCAAGGTAGGTATTATTATTAAAGAATAGATGATTTAGTAATAAATCATGCACAATAAAATYATGAAATCAGCCAAAAAGAATCCAAAAACAATAAAAAAACACTTTTTTTTTCTCTATTCATTCCTATCCAGCAGTAAAAAGTTTCCATCTTTTTGCCTACACTTAGTTCACACCAAGATGAAAATTTCAGCATCAAGTTCATTTTCCAATTGCAGATTAGAGCATACTTGCTTAATCCAAGCGGGTGTCGCTGTCGTTGCTAAGTACATTGATTTTCTGCCCAGCTGGAGCACTACAGAAAGTGAGAAGTTCACAGACTTATCTGACCTGATTTTCTGTGCAATCAGTCCCGTGCCACAGGAGAGCTGCTACGAGCCACCTTTGAGGAACAAAGATCAGAACAAAGAATTTAAAATGCCTGTGTAAAAGTAGACTTGCAAGGGCCTCCAAAGAGTAGGGATTTTACAAGATTTAGCTTTGGTTTCACCTCTGGCACCTGTTAGAATTTTTTTTAATATCTAAAACCACAATGCAGTGAAGTTCACATAGAGGTGTGCAAGCTGATCCAGATGAGTGACTCCACTCAATGACCAGCTTCAAGTCTCAAAAGGCTAATATAATCCTTTGGTATTGATTGCCTTTARACCTCTGAAGACTGGATGTTTATGTGCTTGCTTTCTTTCAGACAAACTTCCCAGYAGACCTCTGATCCTAGTACTTTTTCATCCTGGTGAGGGTGTTTTAAAAATGCATCTTAACACAGAGCAGAAACAAAACCCAACATAAACTAATTATGCGGTGAAGCTCTGGCTCCACAGACAGTAGTGATAAAAGTCCTCAAAATCATCAGGAGCAGAAGCCTATTTGTTACATTTACCAGTCTGTTAAATTATTTATTTTGCCTGCACTACTAAGTGAGATATTATTTTTCCCATGCTGTGTAAAAGCCAGAGGCACAGATGGAACAGCATTTTTTATGGTGATACCCAAACACACAGCAACTCCAGAATATACATCCTGAGTATCTGTGTTCTAAGAGCTAGACAATAAAAACTSACTAAATAGAGGCTGATGCTGCTGAAGCAATGAGGTATCTTGCTTTGATTGGCAGAGTTACAGGCAAGAAAAAAAAAGAGCAGTTTCATGTAAAGGAGAAGTGGGAATGAGAATTTGGAGGGAGGAGATGGGTCACTTGTACATACAGCAGGGTCCTGACATTAAATACTGTGGCTCAAAACAATGAGGGAAAAACAAAGGGGAATTATGGAGGCTGGGCCATCACAGACAAAGTCAAGACACAGAGGGCACTGAAAGTGAGGAAAGCAACTTCTGTCTGACATGGCTGGGAACAAGGACCGGTGACAGGGTTTAAAGCGGGGAAGAACATACAGTGATGTACAGGTGTCTTGGTTACAGCTCCTAGGACAAGGAGATTTGCAGCAGGATTCTGAATGCATCTAAGCAGGATWAAAAAAATTCACAAATTCCATTAATGATTTAACCATGTGCCTTCTCTGGGACAAAAGGTCTTTTTCTGAGGGTGCAAAAATTCTCAGAGAAG